TTGTTTTTGTTTGACCCTGGTTCGTTTTCTCGTTTTCTGGTTTTCTCGGCCCCTGGGCCGTAGTCTCGTTTTCTCGGCCCCTGGTTCGTGTCCTCGTTTTCTCAGCCCTTGGGTTGTGGTCTCGTTTTCTCTGACCCTGGGTCCTCGTCGTCGTCGTCGTCGTCGTCGGTCGTCGGTCGCGCGTCGTCCGTCGTCCGTCGCCGTCTTCGCATGACCTCGTCCTTGTCGAGACGACCACGACGAGGTCATACGAAGACGGCGACAATGACGGCGACGGCGGCGACAACGACGAAGAGGACGACGACGGCGTCGTACGAAGACGTCGGGAGGATCGTCCGGCAGGGGGAGTTCCAGGGAGGGGGATGGTAGCTAAGCCGCCCCTTCTCTTTTGGAAAGGGGTGGAGGGGAGGGGGAGAAAAATGGAGGGAAGGGAGGGGGGGCTTCCCGCAGAAGGGGGTCAAGGGGTAGCTAAGCCCCCCTTCCCTTTCGTAAGGGGGGGAGGGGGGAGGGGGGGGGTAGCTTCCCGGGTGCCGAAACGGGGGAGGGCGGGGGCTGCTAAGCCCCCCCCCCCCCGGAACCCAAAGCTGGGAAGGGGGGCGTAGCTTCCAGCAGAGGGGGGTCAAAGGTAGGGGGGGGTAGCTAAGCCCCCCTTCCCTTTCGGGGGGGGATGGGGGGGTAGCTTCCCGGGTGCCGAAAGGGGGGGGGGGGTGGCTGCTAAGCCCCCCCCCTTTGGAACCAAAGGGGGGAAGGGGGGGGTAGCTTCGGGCAGAGGGGGGTCAAGGGAAGGGGGGGTAGCTAAGCCCCCCCTCCCTTTTGGAAAGGGGGGAGGGGGGTAGCTTCGGAGTGGCGGGGGGGGGGGGGGGGGGGGGGGGTAGCTTCAGGGGGGAGGCGAAAAAAGGTGGGAGGGGGGGGGGGGGGGGGGCTTCCAGCAGGGGAGGTAGAAGGGAGGGGGGGCAGCTCAGGGGGGACTCCCCACCCTTTGCTCGGGCGCTGCGGGCACGCTTCTCTCCTTCCTCCCTTCCCCCTCCCTCCTCCTCCCCCTCCTCCGCGTCCTCGCTCCCTCCACTCCTCCCTCCCCCTCGTTCCTCCTCCCCCTCCCTCCTCCCTCCCCCTCCTCCGCCTCCTCGCTCCTCCCCCTCGTTCCTCCTCCCTCCTCCCTCCCGCGGCCCGCGCGGCAGGCGCGGCCGCACGGTGCCGAGCCAGGAGTCGGCCCGCCCCAGCAGCCTGGAGGCCGGGGGGGGGGGGGCCCCGGCGGCGGGGGCAGCGGGCGCGGAGGGTCGGAGGTCGAAGGGGCTGCACGGCGGTCGCTGGAGGCCTGCGCTTCGGGGTGTCCAGAGAGCCCACGCTGCTCCTGGGGCGCCTTCCTGCTGCAGGAGGCGAGCGGTGCTCCCCCTCCTCCTCCTCCTCCTCCTCCTCCTCCTCCTCCTCCTCCTCCTCCTCCTCCTCCTCCTCCTCCTCCTCCTCCTCCTCCTCCCTCTCATCCTCCTCCTCTCCTGCTCCTCCTCCTCTGCCTCCTCCTCCTCCTCCCCCTCCTCCTCCCCCTCCTCATCTCCTCTCCTGCGCTTTTGGGTGTCCTGCTTCCAGCGCCTTCCTACTTCATCTCTCTAACCACTTCTTCCGACCGACGGGAACCCATACCGCTACCTGTTCCTCGTTCTCGCCTTTTTGGGCCTCCTGTGGTGCCTTCGTCGCCACCGTTTGATTCGCTTCGAATTTCCGGTCAGAGCCCGCCACGGGAGAGGTCTGGGGTGTAGCGGTATCGTTTGTTTTTTTTGGGGGGGGTCGCCAGGAGAGCGCGCGGTGCGAGGCGAGGGGATTTTGTTTTAGACTATACGGGACTATGAATGAGCGGCCAGATCACATTAAGATGCACTCACATCATTTTAATACGTCGGCCGTGGCCTCGTGTCTGCGCTCCTTGTCTTCCTTCTTCTCCTCCTCTCTTGTTTCCTCCCTCCTGAGCTTCACGTTGGGCTGACGTCGCGTGCACGTGACGTCTCAGCTGGGGATGTGCTGAGTCAGTGCTCTTCGGTCTCTGCCTCGGCAAAGGCTGTACAGCGCTGCGTGGTGCAGCATCGGCCTGCGCCCCACTCGATTGGGGTTGTGGATCTGCTTGGCTATGCCATTCTTTTTGAGCTCGTGATGCGAGCGGCACGCGCGCGAGCTAACACCGGGTTGATGTTGTGTTGAGTGGCTGCCGACTTACTCCGTGCAGGTTGGCGAGCTTAAGTGTTGGGAAGGGGCGGGCGAGAAGGGAAATGAGGAGGAAGAAGAGGAGAAATACGAGGAGGGCGACGATGATGATGATGATGATGATGCTGATGATGATGATGATGATGATGATGATGATGATGATGATGATGATGCTGATGGGGTTGAAGATGATGATGAGGCTAGAGGCGAGGATTATGATAATGATGAGGATAGGGATCATCATGAATATGGTAGTGGTGATTCTATGGTGGTGATGATGACGACGAGGATGATGATGTTGTTGTTGATGATGAAGACTATGCTGCTGATGCTGATGGTGATGATGATGACGATAGTGGTGGCGATGATGCTGCTGCGGCTGATGCTGGTGATGCTGGTCTGCTGCGGGTGCTGCTGCTGGTGGTGATGATGATGACCACGGCGACGACGATGGGGATGCTAAGTATGGTGAAGATTGTATGGATGCGGATGATGTCGATGATGTCGATGATGGTACTGATGAGGATTATGATGATGCTGACTATCCTGATGCCGATGATTCTGATGATATTGGCACGGGTGATGATAAATGATGATTATGACGATGACGACGACGACGATGATGATGATGATGGTGATGATGATATTGATGATGATGATGATGGTGATGATGATGGTGAGGTTGATGGTAGTGATGCTTGTCCTGGTGATTTTGAAGCAACTAATGGTGACGATGCAGATGATGATGCCGGCGATGATGATGATGGTGATGATGATGATGATGATGATGATGATGATGATGATGATGATGATGCTGGTGGTGGTGATGATGATGATGATGATGATGATGATGCGTATGACGATGATGATGATGCTGATGGTGATGCTGATGACGATGATGCTGATTATGACGATGATGATGATGATGATGATGATGATGATGATGATGCTGATGGTGGTGGTGGTGGTGATGCTGCTGCTGATGCTGGTGGAGCTATGATGGTGACGATGATGATTATGATGCTGGTGAGGAAGATGCTGACGATGAGGATGATGATGATGCTGATGCTGGTGGTGATGATGTTGAGGATGATGATGCTGCTGATGATGATGATGTTGCTGATGATGTTGCTGCTGATGGTGGTGATGATGATGAGGACGATGATGATGCTGATGTCGCTGATGATGATGCTGATGATGCTGATGACGATGAGGATGATGATGATGATGATGACGATGATGCTGATGATGATGATGATGATGATGATGATGATGATGCTGATGCTGATGCTGATGCTGATGCTGATGCTGATGCTGGTGATGATGATGCTGAGGATGCTGCTGCTGCTGATGATGATGATGCTGATGATGATGCTGATGATGATGATGATGATGATGGTGCTGATGATGATTCTGAACGGAATACTCATCATATGATAAGTTACTGTTGATGAGGGCAAAGTGGATGGGGGGAGAAGGGAACAAGACGTCGTCGGGAGAGGAGCTGTACTTGATGCCTACTTCCTTCCCCCAGTATGCCCGCGACGCTTGAAGGTCGAGCGCGCAGAGTTCATCGACTACCAGGCGCCTGCCTAAACCCGACTCGCTGCAGAACCCTCGGGGCCCTGCTTCACTCTTCCACCTCAGAGCAGGGGGAAGACGTGGATCGGAGGAGGGTGATGAGGATGGTGAGATGGGGGAGCCCAAGGAAAGGAGAGGAGTGCGAGAGCACGCGGGGGGTGGAGGAGAAGGAGGAACAGGAGGAGGAGGAGGACGAGGAGGAGGAGGACGAGGAGGAGGAGGAGGAGGAGGAGGAGGAGGAGGAGGAGGGGGAGGAGTAGGAGGAGGAGGAGGAGGAGGAGGAGGAGGAGGAGTGCCTGAGCCTAAGCTGGACGTGGAACGGAGGAGCATGAGGACAAGGGGAAGGGCGATTCGGGTGGAACGCGGGCTTGAGGCGGAGGCGTTCTAAGGATCGGGGGGGGGGGTGAGGAGGTCTACAGTACGGTCTGGAGCTGTTGGATAGCGTGTCCCTCCGCTGGTTCTGGCCCACCACGCCTCGGAGCGACATGCTATCTGTGTCGCGGTCCCCGAGCGTCAATGTCCCCGGCCATTCCGAGCCTCCCGTCCCGCGGAGCGGAGCGACACGCTTCCCTCTTGCAAGGCATCTTGTGTCGCTGGGGCCGCCGCCGCGACTTGCTACGCAAACGTTCCCGACCCTAGGCGCACCCAGTAAATGACTTGCCTGCCGACAGGTGCCCCACGGAATGTTCTTGTCTCCCGATGGCCCCTGGGACCCAGGGGAGCACTTCAGCACCTCAGTAAGCACAAAGGCCGACGTCGACTGTGCCACGGGATTTCTGTTGGGAAGGCCTCACGGCCAGTGCCGCCAACCCTGAAGAGGAGGAGGAGGAGGAGGAGGAGGAGGAGGAGGAGGAGGACGACGACGACGACGACGACGACGACGACGACGACGGCGGCGTTGGCGGCGACGATAACGCTGACGTTGGGCAGAGTCCTCAGGGATGCTTCGTGGGGCCTCTTTGGAGCGCGCGCGTAGGCCTGTGTGTGGGGCAGTTTGGGGGCCTCTTGGGAGCCTCCTTGGGGCCTCTTGGGGCTTCCTGGGGGCCTCTTGGGGGCCTTTGGGGGCACCTGGGGGCCTCGTGGGGGCCTCCTGGGAGCTTCCCGGGGCCGAGGGCTCGAGCTCGAAATGTTCGTTCGGGCTCCCGTGTGGGCACCATCTTTGAGCCGTCTTGAGGGCCTCTTGGGGCCGTCTGGGAGGGCTCTAGGACCGTCTTGGCGCCGTCTTGGGCTGGGGGGGACGCGAAACAGGTTTTAGAGCAGTCCCTTTAAGCTGGATGTGGGCGACTCTTGTCGGCGGCGGGGGCTGCGTCTTGTCAGTGCTTTGTCGGCGTCCCGGCCGTCTCTTGTCAGTACTTTGTCGGCGGCTGGGCCGCCTCTTGTCAGTGCTTTGTCGGCGTCCCGGCCGTCTCTTGTCAGTACTTTGTCGGCGGCTGGGCCGCCTCTTGTCAGTGCTTTGTTGGCAACCTGGCTGCGCCTTGTCGGTATTTTGTCGGTCGTCCGGCCGTCTCTTGTCAGTGCTTCGTCGGTGGCCACGCCGCTCCGTGTCAACGCGTTGTGCTTTGTAGGCGGTCATGCCTCGTCTTGTCAGTGTTTTTTCGGCGGCCAGGCCGTCTCTTGTCAGTGCTTTGTCGGCGGCCTGGCTACACCGTGTCAGTACTTTGTCGGTCAACTGGCCGTCTCGCGTCATTACTTTGTCGGTTAGCGTCAACGTCAACACCAGCCTCGCCACCATCATCATCAGCATCAGCATCACCATCATCATCATCATCACCACCATCACCACCACTGTCATCAGCGTCGTCATCGTCACCATCATCAGCACCATCATCACTCACCCTGCTTTCCCCCCTCCGAAAACGGGGCAATCGGGGTGTGCGGGGGGGACAGGACAAGGGGGTCCCAGAGTTGGTTCCCCTTCGCCCCGCCTTCCTGCCCCCCTCCCCCAGGCCCCCCCCCCCACATTCCCCTGCCCCCCGGCTCCCCCCCGTCGCGACCCCCTCCCCTCGCCAGCTGTCCCCCTCTAGGCCTCCTAGATGGGGTCCGCGTAGATGGGGTCGGGGGATCGCGCGGCATCGCCGATGCATTGGTGATGCGGCTCGATGTGGAGCCTGATTTTCTTCGCGGTGACGTCGCTGGTGCATCGCCGACGTCGACGACGCATCGCTGGTCGCCGATGCATCGGTGATGCGGCGCGATCCTCCGACCCCTCTCCCCCCCTCTCCGCTTCTGCCATTTTGGGCTGAGGCTTTAAATGCCTTTCTGCCTTCTCTTTTTTTCCGCGGCGGCCGCTCGCGATGCCGCCCAAGCGCGGGTCGCACAGGGAGCGAGGCGCGTCGCGACCGAAATCAATGCCCCCTCCCCGACCTTTTAGGATGAGCCGATGTTCCACCGCCACTACCATGGGTAGGAGAGGGGGGAGGAAGAGGAGGAGGAGGAGGGGGGAAGGCGAGACAGATTTCGACCGCCACACGTTCACACCTGAGATCTGGCCAACGCAAATAGGAGTGAGGACCCCCCCATCCACCCCCCCTCCTACCTGCGGTAGTGGCGTTGGGGAATTGGCCCATCGCACTCGCGCCCTAGGGGCGCGCGTGCCCCCCCCCCCGCCCGCCTCCCCAGGCACGGCCGCGGCCGCCGCCCACGCAGTCAAGATGCGGCTGGCCAAGACGGAGAGGGCGCTGTCGCGGAGCCGCAGCGAGGCCCTGCATATTTTGTTTCCCCCCTCTTTCTCCTCTTTGTCGTCTCCCTACTCCTCGTCGTCGCCCCAATCCACGGCCCATCAGAAAGAATGCCCAGACGAACTGCCCTGATCAGGGGATGTGGGATGTGGAAGAGCACGCAGTGGACGAAAGGGCTGCATGAGACGTCGCACCCCTAAGAGGGGGGGCATGGTGGAGGAATCGAGGAATCGGAGGAGCAGCTCAGAATGAGGAAGATAACGATGAGGATGAGAAGGATGCGTAGGAGGCGGAGGAGGAGGATGGAGGAGGAGGAGGAGGAGGAGGAGGAGGAGGAGGAGGAGGGGGGGGGCAGGGGGGGGGTGGCGGCGGGACGAGGACGGAGGAATAATAGGAAGAGCCAGCCCTCCTCCCTCCCCCCGTCCTTCTCTCTCCGATTACGCCCCGCAATTCTCGCCCCCGCCGCCGCCGCTGCCGATGGCAATCTTCCCGGTCGGCATTTCAAATATGGGGTCCTGAGGGGCGGTGCCCGATGGATGGGATGGGGCCTGAGGTCGGATTTACGCTGTTTGGGGCGCCCAGACAGACGGCTTGCTCCAATCAAACCGTCCGTCGCGGACGGTTTGCTTGGAGCGGGGGGGGGGCCCTCGGGGACCTATGTTTGAAACGCCGACCCGCTCCATTCGTCGTGCGCGGGTGGCGCTGGGAATGCGCGGCTCTCAGCAGTTGGACGCCCTGGCCGCGTACGCCTCCACGGTGAACGCCAAGGGCGCCTTGCGGGCTGGGGTCGAGGCGGCCGCCCCCCTCGGGGCTCAAGAGACGGGGGTCAATGCAGGCAGGGGGTCAGCCAAGGCGCTGGATCCTGCGGGATCCTCCGAAGACCCCCTCTGGCCGACCCGGGTCAGCGAGCCGCTCGTGGCCGCGAGGCGGCTGCGCGTATTGGCTGACCCTGGTTTGCGAAACCCTGCATTGCAGCCCTTTGTTTTTCCTGCGTTTCAATTTGTTTGGTTCCCTGCTGGCCCGGGTCTGACTGGCCCCCGGGTTATCCGACCCCCGACACCCTCCTGCCAGGCCGAATGGAATCCGAGTCCGAGTCCCCCTCTCCCCCCTCCCCCCCCGCCCCCTCCCCTGCCGCCCCTGCCCAGGTTGTGGCGTACCGGCCGAAGCGGCGCTGCTCCCGGCTCGTCCTCGCCGCCCGCGGCAAGAAGAACGCGGGCGTCTTGGGCAAGGGAGGTCTCGCCCCCCCCCCCCCAACCCACCCACCCCCGCGCAACTCCTCGGTCGGGCGAGCCTGCCCGCCCATTCCCTCCCCCCCATCCTCCTTGCATTTCTCTTCTCTTCCTCTTCAGTCACATCCTCTTCCCTCCTCGTGCGACTCCTCCTCCTTCTTTGACCCCGTGCTCGCCCACTATGCTCCTAATCGGTCCGGGCCATGCTGGTCGAGGTCGGCCCTGCTACAGCTGCTACCGTCGAGCTGATTAGTGCGTCGACCCTGCCAAAGCAAGGGTGCTCTTGTGTCCTGCGGTTCGCGACCCATGCCGTCTACATTTACATTCCCATGGCAGCGTGGGTCTCGGAATGATCGCGCGCCCTCTCGCGTGTCCTCTCACGTCAGCCCCAGCTACAATTATCGACCAATCCTGCTCTGGCCAGGTTCGCGTCGCCACGAGTGCTACCAGCCCCCTGGTACACTCTCTTGGATGCAGCTTGATTCGCCCTTGGTATGGGCGGTGTGCATCCTCCTCTTTATCCCCCCTCCTCCTCTTCTTCTCCTCCCCCTGCAGTTTCTTCTCCCCCCCCTGCTCCTCAGTCCACTCAGGCCAACATTCGATTCGAACATTGGTCTCCTCGCGCGCCCAAATCCCAGGTCGATGGGCGGTCGGCCCTCGCACCCGCGTGGAGATGGCATACGCCGCCACCACCAAGGTGAAATGCCTCGCCCGAGAGTTCGACGTCACCCCTCCGACTGTCCGGCGGAACACTAACTTTATTGCAGCGACGTGCCTGCATAGCCAACTCGAGTGGCTGCATCACGTCAGGGACCGTTGCCGTCAGCGTCGCCCCTGGTCTGTGACGGTGAGCCGCCGCTGGGACGAAACCAAGGAGGTCGTGACCTTGCCTGTCGGTGATTCGTTTGAGAAGGACTCCGTGGAGGCGATGGTGAACGCGTGCAGGTTGGTTGTGTCATGGGGGCCGGGTGCACCTGTATTATGCATGGACTTGGTGATGCCACCCGTGCCCCTTGTCGGAACATCGTCGAGTGATATATGCGCTGCGATCTGTCGCCACCCACTCCTGCAACCGATCAACGACGCCGTCATCGACATAGTCACGACCGCTGACCTTCGGTGCTGGTCTCACGAGTGTGACGGCGCCAGCGGCAACGATCGCTACCACTTCGGCACCGCTCCGCGCAAGCAGGTCCATTGCCCTCGCCGTCACCTTGGCCCTGGGATGCGAAAACATTACACGTCAGCTTCCTTGACCCGCCTCGTTCCTCATCCGTCTCGCCTCCCTGGGCCTTTAGGCGGACGGGGGCGAAGATGGCGGAGGGTCAAGAGATCTGACGTGCATTGTTTCCTCTCCCAGCCCCCTCCTGCTTCTCGCCTCGCCCGCCGCCCCGCGGGAGGTCCGCGAGGGCTGCGCGTGCGAGCTGCACCTGTGCTCGAACCACAGCCACCACCTGGTATCAGTCTCGCAGGTGGAGCAGCCCGGGCTGGCCATCGCCGAGAACTTGTACACGAGTGGCATGTTCTTCTGTTACAGCGGACACTACCGACGGCTGCAACTTTCAATAGGATTGTGCGTCGACGACTGCTTGCAGGTGCTTCGCTTCAATCGGAAAAAAACAGAGAGCGAGGATCACGAAGAGGAGGGCCGGGATAGAGGGTGGGACCACGTGACCACGTGGGGGATTGAGATGATGATGCCGCTCCTGATGATGATGTCCACGATGCCGATGGCGGGGCAGGGGCGCGGGCGGAAGGGGCGGGGGAGGAAGACGAGGCGCGCGGTCGCCCAGGTGAAGTACACCCGCCCGCCTCCAGCCGCTGCTGAGTATGCCGAGCAGATCGCCTCGTTCATCCTGCGCAACGAGTCCGCTTGCGCGCCCACGTGCGGGGAGGGCCAGCGCAGGCGGCGGCAGCAGCGCAAGCGCCCGCTCCTCGAGGCTCGCTTGAAGGAGTTCGCATCCCTGTTCAATGGGCAGTGGAGCGAGCAAGGTCTGGGTGAGTCGGTCGGGGTCGGGGATGTTTTTTGTTTGTTTTGTGCGGGGGGTTCTTGCGGTCGAGCTCCTGCTGCAGCGCGGGCCTCCAGACGTGATTCGGCCCAGTGCCCCCGGGGCCCGTCGGCCCGAGGCCGTCGCGCGCGGGCGGCCCCCTGGGGCCCGGCACCTACCCAGAGTGGCGGGGGAGGAGGAGGAGGAGGAGGAGGAGGAGGAGGAGGAGGAGGAGGAGGCGGAGGAGGAGGGAGGTGGGGAGAGGGGGAGGGGGAGGAGAGGAGGAGGAGGAGGAGGAGGAGTGAGGAGGAGGAGGAGGAGGAAGGAGGAGGAGAGGAGGAGGAGGAGGAGGAGGAGGAGGAGGAGGAGGAGGAGGAGGAGGAAGCGAGGAGGAGGAGGGGAGGGACGGAAGCGGAGGAGGAGGAGGAGGAGGAGGAGGAGGGCGGCGGAGGGAGAGGGAGGGGGGGGGAGGATGAGGGGAGGAGGAAGAGGAGGAGGGGGAGGGGGGAGGAGGAGGAGGGGAGGAGGAGGAGGAGGAGGAGGAGGAGGAGGAGGAGGAGGAGGACGATGAGC